ATTTAAGCTAGACCATTACGGAGCTGAAACATGGAGAACTACTACATCCATCGTCAAGAAGGTACAAGTATTTATAAACAGTTGTTTACGCAAAATACTTAACATTCACTGGCCGGATACTATCAGCAACAGCGTTTTATGGGAGAGGACAAACCAGCTTCTAGATGAAGAGGAAATTAGGAAAAGATGTTGGAAGTGGATAGGACATACATTACGGAAATCACCAAACTGCATCACGAGGCAATCCCTAACTTGGAATGGAGAAGGAAAGCGGAAAAGAGGAAGGCCAAAAAATATATTACTCTGGGAAATAGAAGCAGATATGAAAGGGATGAATAACAACTGGAAAGAACTGGAAAGAAAGGCTCAGGATAGAGTTGGATGGAGAATGCTGTTGAGCGGCCTATGCTCCTCGACGAGAGGTAACAGGCGTAAGTAAGTAAGTAAGTAAGTAACCATTGAAAACCTGTAAGTGAGATCATGGATGCTCACCTCTAAGGAGTCCCATACGGCCGTCCAGTGCTTTCAAGTTTTCAATGATGATCTATTTTAAATCGACTCATAAATTCAACTATTAAAAAACCATCATTAACAATTTTCACTTTCTTCAATTCTTTTTTAACTCTCTCTCTCTTTTCTCAAACGGTAGTTGTTAAGTTTAATTTAATTCTTTTCTGTCTTACTGTTATTGATTTAATTTTGTTTTGTTTTTTTTCATTCTCGAGTAAATTATCTTCATTTACATTCAGCTTTACACTTTACTGTTTATTGATTTCTAAGGATAACTTATTTTCACTTACGATGTATATTCCGATCAAAATGAAAACAAGAGAATGAATTTTCATTTTGTTGGATTCTTTTCTACATTAGTCAGTCAGTCAGTCAGCTACAACGTAGGACCAGGCACATATATGCATCGTTCCAAATTGCCATACCTCGATAGCACAACAAAATGAAAAAAAAATTCATAAAAGAAATTAATTTAATGGTGTTAGTATATAAATGATGGGTTGTATATAAGGATATGGTATGAGAAGGTAGAACGTTTTGAAGCAATTTTAATCTGAGGGTTCAAGGGAAGATAAAGAGTGTATTCACCTACGCCATTGTGATTGATTCTAAGCCATGTCACACAGAGTCTCCAACAATTCATTACGATAGTCACGTGGACCCCAACCAAGTAGTCTGCATCTGCCAAGATGGCTCAGACTAGAAGTGAGTGACTTCAAACACTGATGTCACTTTTTGGTTTGGCCACCCCTAACCATCATCTACATTAAGTGATAATATGATTCAAAAATATCTACTGTTTTCTCATGTTAACTAAGATACTCTACTGGATTTTTTGGTACTTTTACCAATATTTCGAAACGTTGACTTAAACAATTTGTCATAAACTGTAAAAAGAAAACAGGGAATGATAGTTCTCTTCTTCGATGATAAGCAAAGCTTTATCTGGGAGTCTATCTGTAATAAATGTATTATAAGTAGTGATGACAATCCCAGTACACATAAATTGTCTAAAGCTGTACGGTTCTAGATATAAAATTCTTCATTCCTTTAATAGATAGTTCATTGTCCAGTTAGTTAGTAATCCAAAAGTGAATTGTAGGTTAGGCATTAGGTATGGTAAACTTATTACTTACTTACTTACGCCTGTTACTCCCAATTGAGCATGGACCACCCACCAGCATTCTCCAACCCACTCTGTCCTCGGCCTTCCTTTCTAGTTCTATCCAATTTTTGTTCATTCTTCTCATGTTTGTCTCAATTTCTCGGCGTAATGTGTTCTCTGGTCTTCTTCATCATGTAGGAATGTGTAGATCACCGATACAGATCCATTCTTTCTCATCCCATAAATTAAAAGTTCAGTGTAGTTGCAAATATTGTGTTCTTCTATTGCTATTAATTTTCAAACGTATTTCTCATGTCTAAGGATTCAGTGACCAATGTATTTTACTAATTACGTTTCTCATCAGTATAGGGGGTTTATTGATATTGTTGGATGTTATTGAGATTCCGAACCATCCTGAGTTAAAGATCTGTTGAAAATCATGGAAAAGTGAAGCACTACTCTCTCCTAGTACAAACTGCTCATCAGTGCACATCCGCAACCTAAAAGGAGACCGGATCCAAGACTTTTGGTGTCATGCCGGGCTCTTGACCTCTAAGCCATCGAACCAACATATAACGATATAGTCACTTCGAGAAGGAAATTCCAGAAGTTTAGTGATAAGTTGTGACTAGCGGAGTCCAAAGTTGTCGAATGTGAAGCAAGTTGCCAACCAAAGAAAATGGAAGATTATTGGTCAATATTGCTAACTCTCTGAAGTTAGACATTTGCACGATTGGATCAATGATTGGCAGGTTAGGCGTTCATGCACGACACCGAAAGCCTTAGGTTCGATTTCCAGACGCGTGGTCGTGAATCTGTAAAGCCGCAGTTCATTAATAATATAGTGTGCTACTGATGTCGACAGATATAAGTAGTATGTATCATCAATCGAAAGTGAAGTATCTGGCTACAGGAGTTTAAGAAGATTAAAGAAAAGAGAATGAGAACAGTGTGTGATTGATGTGGAAACGAAGGAACAGACAAGTCTGAGACAAACGAAGTATTTACTGAATGGTTCTCAGACCAAAGCGAAATCACTGTACCTTTATTTAATTTAGAAATTGAAGTCGATTAGGTTACCCATATTTTCACTTTATTTTCAAACAAAAAACAATTCACTTAGTATTGTTTGTTTGGATATTCCCATTGATGTTTTTTGGACTGCAGCTGGTCAGTCTCTAATTGGCATATGTGCATACTGTGCCAATTAGAGACTGACCAGTTGCAGTCCAAAAAACATCAATGGGAATATTCAAACAAACAATACTAAGTGAATTTAAACTTCACAAGCACAAGTAAGTGGCTATCAGGGCTCAGTAGCCGAGTGGATAACGTGATGGCGTTTGAAGCGAAAGGTACTGGGTTCGAGTCCCAGAGTGAACATCATCTCTGAGATGCAGGTACATCCAGTTGACGAGTCCCGAATAGGACAAACGCTCGCCAAACTGGATTCCACTGCTAGGCACTATCCATATTTGTTTAAAAAACAATTTGTTCCTATATTAAAGTACATGTAGTGTATAAAAAAGTAGTTATGAAGACACTTGTTTATTTCTTATGGTAATTATCTGTCCCCCTTTTTTATTTCCAATTATCACATTGTCAAATATGTAGTTTATAATAAAGAATTTCATTGCCATTCACCGAAATTTATACACTTAATATCAGTAATTGTTTTCAATACATCTAGTGTATTGATGAAGGTATTGCTATTCTTTCTTACTCACTAGCAGTTTTCTGTTTATTGGCTTCATCTCTTACTATTCTCTTCATTTATAATTTATGCTGTGTGTATATGTATTTGTATATGTGTGTATACTGTGTGTATGATGGGTTTTAATTTTAACTCAATTACAATTTACTAGGCTGATCTTTGAATACACCAAAAAATCATAAAAACAGCATTCATTATCAGGTGATTGCGTATGTATGCCAATGTATTCAATGACACTATCAGTAATCAATAAATCAAACATAAGAAATTGTAAGCAAATATGGATGATGGCTAGCAATGGAATTCAGGACGCGCGTTTTGTCCTATTTGGGACTCCTCAGCCGGATGTACCTGCATCCCAGAATTGATGTTATTCTCGGGACTCGAATTCAGTACCGTCCATTTCAAAAGCCATCGCATTATCCACTTAGCTACTGAATCCTGACGGGTCTCAAACAAAACGAAACGTGCGTCCTGGATTCCACTGTCAGCCAACATCCATTGCTGCTTATGATGCTTGTGACTTAAGGCAATATCGAGAAAATTCATACACGATGCACAAATGCCAATAAGAGACTGATCAATTGTAGTTCTAAACATCATTGGGAAGATTCAAACAAACAATACAAAGTGAATAAGAAATTGTGTCTAATTATCCTTATAAATATAAACCTAGTCTATATGTGGTGAAATCTTGGTAGGGATATAAAAACATGATATAACTTTTGCCTACATGCGTCACCAGAATCACAGGCGAAATTCCTTTCTTTCCCATGAGTTAAATAAGTGTACTAGCTAGTTTTTTTTTCTGTTTTGATCTGTGACTATGAAACATGCGTTGTGATTTCAGAACACATACATGATCTCCAAGTCTTTGATTATAGTTGACTTCTAAGGATTTTTCAGGCATTGTTTAACCACTGAGTTAATATTCCTGAGACCAGACACATGGTACACAGTAGAGATAGTAGGTTGAATGATAAGCCTCAAACTACTTTGCTAGGTTCCATACGATGATGGTGATCGGATATTAGAGACGTTGGATGAAGCAGATCAGAGTCATCCACGTTGGGTCAAATAATCTCAGTTTTTACGTTCCACTATGTTTCGATATACTGTGTTGTTTCGTACCTCATAATTCTCAAATTAACCCTTTCTTCTCGAGCCATATTCTTGAAGATTTGACTTTTCTCTCTGATTGATATCATTATTTTGACTAATTTGCTATGATACATATATATACCTATCAAGTAGATGAATATCCTCAAAGTCACTATAGCATCGCCAAAAAGTCGTCTATAAATGATAATCTCACTCATCACACCTTATTCTTACACTTGAAGAGTAAGTGAATCACACTAATACAAATACCTTAGTATTCTCATGTTGACTGGACGCACGCATGATCGATAACTTACCTGTGTGTGGCGTAAATACTTCATAGTAATTCACTGTGTATTTACGGATGGTTTATATGGAATATGAAGATGAATTTGAAAGATGTGTTACAGCCACTAATTTTTAATCGAAGTCCTACTTCGATAACAACTGGCTAAACGAATGACTGACTAAGTTTAAGCAAGAGCTTCTATGCGGTGTTGAAATTCCTTTTGTTTTTAATATGATCCTCATTGTGTTTTTTTCATTCGCACCGTCTCATTAATTTACTAGAAATCAAACGTCAGTATATTGGATTGTTTAAATTTATTCACGTCTAAAGAAGAGCTAGATGGTAATGAAAGACCCGTAAGTTTTATATTATTGATTAACATTATTTGATGTTAAAAAATATTATTGCTATTTATTATCGTTATTGGTAGTAGTAGTAGTGGTAGTGTTGAGAACGAGGACTTGGTGGAGAAAACCAATTTATTGTTTAGTGCAAAATTACAATGTCTTGGTAAAGTGTGGAAACTGTACATTAAATGCTTCATTTACACGTTCTTCCATTCTTTGTCCTTCACATGCTTCATGTTTTCAATTCCGTTGTTCTTAAAATTACTTTCTGTATCTCTTTTCCTCAGTTCAACCTTCTCAACCTTTTTTAGACAGGCATTCCACTTCTGATGGATGTTATATACTACTTATATCAGTCGACATAAGTAGTATACACCAAAGTAGTAGTAGTAATAGTTTTACTGTCAGTTTACTGACTAATACAAGCCTGTATAATATTATTTTTACTAACAGTAGCATTATATTAGAAATGAGACGGTCAATTCAACTAGTTTTAACATTTTATACAATGAGTTAATAGCACTTTTTGACTGCCTGAAGGGAAGTGGAGGAGACCTGTAACTGGTTAGTTCATAGTGAGATGTGTTTAATTTCTTCTACCCGGATTCCTACTTTGTTGTGAAAGTACATAGCATGCTATTTTTTTCGTTATTTTACTTACCATTTTTCGATTATAGATTATGGTTATTTTCTAGTTCTCAACCAAGAGATTTGAACCAATCGACGGGTCCTAGAAAAACAGTCAGTGTCTTAGCGGGTTTATTCCATGTTTCGATCCATCAGTCCCTAGTTAATGATCTCATTGTTTTGTGGGTTATAGGTTAAAATAGGCGTTGATCATGTATCCATAACACATATATTCCAGTCACTTTAATCAGTGAAGATTCATAGCTTCGCCAATCAATTTGCAATTTTTAGTTAAGTACGTTGGATCTTACTCCAGGATTACCCACTTGTTAGTTCCACAATAAACAAGCAATGTTTTTATTTCAGAGATATAACCAATAAATCCATGTATACGATAAGTTTTTGTTCATTTTACAATGAACTAAATTTGAGTAGGCAGGATGCAACTTTCTTGATCATTTTCATTATAGTTCAAAATCGTTTTCACTCTTTTTTCCCTTATATCCCACGTTTCTAAATGCTTTATAAATCTCCTTAATTTCATCAATATGTTTTTTTTCTTTGAATCTTATCGTCGTTACATAATCCTTCCTATTTTCACTTATATTACTACTGTTGTGATGTGTGCTACTGATGTCGATGGATATGAGTACTATGTACCACCAATTGAATACCTGGTGGCAGAAGGTTGGGAGAATCCAATAGAAGAGAACGGGAACAGAGAGTGATTGTTATGGAACTGAAGAAACAACAAAGTTTGAGACAATTGATGAATATTTTGCAAATGAAGTACTTACTGTATGGTTCTCAGATTTTACCAAGATATTCTGTAATGCTGTATTAAAACAAATCTGATTGTCTCCACTGATATTCTCGTTTACTAAACTGACTTTAATACCATGGAACTTTTTTTAAAGTCTCATCCCGCCGTGGTAATGGAGCATGGCCACTTGAACCTGTGTTCACAAGTGCTAGGTTCTACGTCCAAAATACCTGACTGATTGAAGTGGATTCTTTAGGTTGTACTAGTTTTGAATCATGCACACACTGATGCGTCTGATCAGAACAATAATGATAACTTCTCAATTGAATCACTCAGCTCATAGAATATCTATGCCATACATTTATCCGTAAAATTTGATTCGTGCAGGAAGCTTACAGCTTTTTAGTGATGTTCTAGCTTAGATCAACTACAATCGTCACAAATCCTCATACTCATAAAATTAATTCGCGTATGTGTCTATTTAGTTAATGGAAATGAAAACATATGTAATATAATAGTTTATTGAATATGTGACTTTTTTATTCTCACTTCATGTCAAAACAAGCATATATATATACATCCAGTATTACCATGTAGTCATAAACATTTTAAGCTGTCTGATAATGACCAGCAGTGGAAACCAGAGGGTTTATTCCTTCTTATTCAAAACTCGTCAACACCTCAATGTTGGTGTTTACCTTGATTGTGCAAGCTAGTTTATATCTAAACTCAGTAGTTAAATAGATAACTCGTTTGACGTTTGAAACAATAGGTTACCGGGTTCGAGTTCCCCTGTAAATGTCAACACAGCTCCAGATGAAACCAGATGTCTGGTTCTAAAATGAGACGAAACTCACATGGATTCTATTGCTAGCCACTTTCTAACTCTGCTTAAAAGGTAGCTGAATATTTTTACAATAATATTTTATCTTACCCCAGTTCTATAAAAAGACAGAAGAAAATCAATTGCACTTTTCCGTTTTTTTATTTTTTTATTTTTGAATGAACAGATTTGTAGTCGATGTAAAACTCGAAGAAGATGTGCCAAAAGTTTTTCAATTCAGAAATTCCCACAAATTCTCGTACTTCGTATCCTTTTTTTTTACTGTTTTGCCAGATTTAGTTATTTGTATTTTTGAAGAATCTGTTATATATTAGCATATTTTCTACTAAGCGATTAATTGCTGTGCTACAGGATAGATATTGATATTTATTCTACCATATCTAAATATTTATTTATAGGATGAAGTACATTTACACAGCATAGTACTTGTTTCAATATCTTCCTAACTTTACTTTGGCTGACTATTCAGTACTAAGAATAATTGATATACATAGTGTTAGTCTAAAATCATATTTCATCCTCTATGTTCTAATACTATTATTCTGGTCACCAAACTTACTAGGTTGAGTCCCATATGTAGTGTTTTGAATTCGAACCGTAAAGTTGTTCGTAACAAGAATGAAACAATTTTTCAGTAATCTTTATTTTTTAGTAGTTTGACAATAACTATCATTATGTGGTGAAAAGTATCTACAGAACTAAACGAATCTCTGAAAATTATTTTATGGAATGCAAAAGAACTAATAAAGATTGACAATTGAATATTAATCAACTCCGCCTGTAGCTCTTGTAGAGTTACTGCCGGTCCCAAGCATGGGTAAAGGAGGAGGTTTGGGCATGGGGTCGGCAACCTCATACCGTAGAAAAAAATCTTGCATGAAAGGCTCCAACCAGACTAAACAAATTAAACCATTTAAACTCTGCCCTGAGAGTTGAAGAAAGAATTATGATGCCTCACGATAAAAGCCAAGATTCTTCCGAAGTCACAAAGCTGATGCCTCTTCTAACAACCAGAGCAACACTCGTTATAGGTACTTTGATAGTCTGGACAATGTACGGGAACAGGAAGACCGGTCAAATAGCAACGAAATCGGGGACACACAACCTGACGGTTCTCGGAATAAGCGAAACCCATTGGACCCGAAATGGACCACAAAGGCTAGATACGGTAGAGATACCGCTGTACTCCGGTCACAAACAAGAAAATGCTCCACACACTCAAAGAGTTGCTCTAGTGCTGTCCAGAGAAGCGCAAAATGCACTTGTAGGATGGGAATCTCATGGACCCAGGATAATCAAAGCATCATTCAAAACGATGAAGGAGGAGATCACAATGAATGTTATCCAATGATACACAGCCATCAATGATAGCAACGACGACCATAAAGATCAGTTCTACTCGAGTCTGCAATCAATCATATCTAAGTGCTCAAGAAAGGACTTCACCATCCTGATGGGAGATCTAAATACTAAAATCAGAGTGGACAACACAGGATAAGAAGACATAATTAGACAATATGGACTGGGAGAGAGAAATGAAAATGAGGAGAGATTTGTAAATGTATGTGTATTATAGGCGGCACAAATATTGACCCACAAACGCATACACAAAGTTTTATGGATCTCACATCACAGAAAATCAGACAGATCATATTTGTATCGATGAAAAATTCCGAAGGACAATGGAAGATGTGAGAATCAGGAGAGGAGCTGACGTAGGTTTAGATCACCACTAACTGGTTGTGTCCATGATGAGACTGAAGCTAAAGAAACACGGGACAACTGGATATATTTAATGTTTAAAAATGGTGTATTAGAAATGTCATAAAAATGCCTTTATCTACATGTGGAGTCTTACAGAATTTCTTTCATTCATCAAACATCAAAACATTAGTGCATACAATGTAGATCCACTTATAGTAGTAGCTACATTTGAATTTGTTCCGTGGAATTCAACTAACAGTATGTTCGAATTCACTTTGTATTGTTTGCTTGAATCTTCCCATTGATGCTAAGATTGAAACTGGTCAGTCTCTTATTGGCATATGTGCATACTGTGCGTATTGCCTCGGTATCGCCTTAATTCATAAGCATTATCGGTAAAGATGGATAGTGGCTGGCAGTGGAATCCACGACGCGCGTCTCGTCTTATTTGGGACTCGTCAGATGGATGTACCTGCATCTCAGAGTTAATGTTCACTCTGGGACTCGAACCCAGTATTATTCGCTTCAAATGCCATCACGTGCTGATTTTGAATCCCAGAGGGAACATCAACTCTGAGATGCAGGTATATAAGACTGACGAGTCCCAATTAGGACGAAACGTCCATCCTGGATTCCACTGCTAGCCACTATCCATCTTTGCTTATAATAACAGTATGTTCACTTTTCAATAAAAATTTCTTTTTGATTGGAAAAGTCTATAAAATGATTTTTACAATCCCATTTATTGTTTATATACATATCGAAAAAATCTTTAGGTTTCCTACATTTGTTTTGTGCCTGAACCCAATATAGAAGATGAAAATGATCATAACAGTTTGAATAGACTTTATTTAACATAATTAACACATGAATATAATGAATTTCTACTGTTTTCTGCTAAACTTAAAATAAGCATTACAAAAAGAAATGACGCCAGTTTATTCCATACTTCTTACCCCTGTTTATCTTCATCAATATACATATACACATGGTACCATGTATTGTTTGTTTTTTTTTTCGCCAAAGTACAAATCTCATCCCCTCAACAACAAAAAACGTATTACGTTACCTATTATAATACAATTTGACATTGAAATTTTCAGGCCGCTTAAATGATAAATCTAATATTTTACGATGTATAGAAAAATTGTTAAAACCATCATTGAGTTGAAGAATGATGTCATACAACGTGGAATTACATTTTACTTAGCATTAATTGCCATTTTATGTTGAATAAGATCATTTAACATGGATACTATTTAAGCTATTTATATGGATAGATATAATTAGTATGTAGCAGGAGTTGGAATTCAAATGCTCATCAGTAGAATATTGAAATAAAGGGAAGAGAAAGGAAAACAGAAAATAATCGGAACAACAACAGAATAGAGTACGTATAGGTTAAGTCAAGGAAAGTGTGCAAATTATGTATACAATACATGATTTTTATATTTTACAAAGGCATTGTGTGATTTTCCTCAAAATGCATCAATTGTTTCACTGTATCTGAGATTTCGTTCACTACAGTACAGCCTCCTAAATACCATACGAAAATTGATCACAGTTATATAACTGCTAGTATTGTGTATATCAACACTGGAATTTAAGTAAATATAGGCAGTGAACGTCAGATAGAACGTAAGGCTAGTTCCAGATAACAAATTGAAATCTGGTTTCTTTCTGTAAACTTTCATTATATTTCTTCTTCGAGAATATCTGACTTATTACCAACGTCATCTTATTGATATGCTAAGTTTAAATGGACAGGTAAATAGATTGGATATCAATCTATAAATTAGTAAAAAGTTTAACGGTCTATACAAGATGAGTTGAAAGTACTTCCAAAAATGAATTTAATTGGAATTTGTTATGAAAATATATTGTAGTGTGGTCTACTTATATCCATATAAGTAGTATATGGCGATGGTCAGACATAGAATGTATTTTGGCAGAAGATCGATAAGGAAAGAACTGAAATAAAGTGCAATCGGTAGAAAAATGCACAAACAATGGAAATCAGAGAAGAAGGACTGATATTTACAACAGGAACAGTGAAGATTGAGACAATTGGTTGTTAATTTACAAATTAACTGCTTGATGTATGGTTAATAGAATTTAGTGAGATAGTTTGTAATTTGTGTCTAAGTTCATTCGGTTGTCCTCATCAGTGTTCTTGTTCGTTACAATATTAGTATAGTATATTCAGATAAATTATATTTTGAAGATCATTACAGAATGCATACCAATTTACAGGTATGATTAAGTTGATGCAGAAAGAATTGGTTCGATCGTTGTTTTGAGGGGACATTTTTTCCCATAGACGATTGAAATAATACAAGGCAACAGTTTGGAGACTAGTTATGTTTTAGTAAAGAAAAGAACAATCAAATCTTGTAAATACATCATACACAGAAGAGCATTCTCAATCATAGATACTAATAGAATACTAAAAGCTTAGAAATAATTAGTCATCTAATGATTAAACGCTAATGACAATTAAGAAGTCTAGTCATTTAGTCATAAAGTTATGAAACTAGGATAGAATAGAACATCATTTGATCATGTTCAAAATCTCTTTTCATCTTAACATATAGCAGCTCACATACAATTGAGTTTGTTTACATCTAATTTGGCTAAGCCCTTTTGTTAACTTATTTAACGGACAGAGTCATTCGTACAACAACAACCTATCTATGCTATTGTAGCTTTATTATGTACGCTTGAGCATTGCTTACTTCTTACGCATGTATTCATTCTTCTAGCCTTACTACTAATTACTTGATTGATTCGATGATTCATGTTTGTCCATTTTTATATATATGTACATCTTAATCTTGTTCATTGCACTGTACTGTACTCACTGACTCGATCAATTGATCTCTCGCTCACTCGCCTGATTTACGTCACTACTCTTTCATGTTTGCTTAACGTACCTGTAATTTTGGGTATCTGTGTGTGGTACAATAATAAACGCAATCAACCCTTCGTATTCATTCGCCTTCTGATTTATACACCGTTAGGACATTATCGAGTAACGGTTATCAAGACGAACAATATACGAAGTTTAAGGATAATATCGAATATCGACCACCACAAGTAGTACTTCAGCCTTCATAATAAATTTTGTAAATAATAGTTATCTGAAATGATAAAGTAGCAAAAATACTATCCATTTTTCAAATCATTCACTAATAAAACTACATAATTAATACGATATTACTTACTTACTTACGCCTGTTACTCCCAATGAAGCATAGGCCGCCGACCACCATTCTCCAACGCACTCTGTCCTGGGGCTTCCTTTCTAGTTTCATCCAGTTTTCGTTCATTCTTCTCATGTCTGTCTCTATTTCTTGGCGTAATGTGTTCTTTGGTCCTCTCCTTTGGCCTTCAGGATTCCATGTGAGGGCTTGTCTTGTGACGCAGTTCGATGATTTCCTCAATGTGTGTCCTAACAACTTGAAGCACTTCTTCCTGATTTCTTCTTCCACTGGATGGAATTTGGTTTGTTCTCTCCCAATGTAGGTAGTTTCTGATAGTGTCTGGCCAACGGATCGGAAGTATGTTGTTTAGACAACTGTTAATAAACACCTGTATCTTCTGGATGATGGCCTTCGTAGTTCTCCACGTCTCCGTCCCATACAGTAGAACTGTCTTGACATTTGTATTGAAATTTCTGATCTTGCTGTTGGTTGACAGACAGTTGTTTTTAGTTCCAAATGTTCTTCAGTTGTAGTGAATATGCTGCTCTTGCTTTGCCGATCCTCGCCTTCACATCTGCATCAGATCCACCGTGTTCATCAATGATGCTGTCTAAGACGATCTTAGCTTCAAATATTGTTCTATCTTATAATCTAATATTTCCTAGCCCTGAAACGTTTTAATGTTTATAAGGAAATCGTTTTTCTATGTTATGTGTATTTGGAATTTTGCTTAACTAAAATGATCATAGATTTGAAACGTTTCTCTGGTGAACGTTTTCGTTCGAAAATGTCGGTTATGGTTGATTATCCTTTAAGAAATTTAGATCTGATTGGATTTGCTACTTCAAGTTGTAAGTTATTATTTATTGTTTGTTTTATGTATCTAAATATAGATTATATTTTGTGACACTTTTTTCTTCATAATGTTAACTAGTCATAGTTGACGTAAAACTTTACGTAAAGATGTAATTTCATTTCAATTTGAGAAGTATGTAGATAAAATTAGAAAACAAAATACTAATAATAAAGGTATATAATTCAATGGAGCATCATTGATGAACACGGTGGATCTGATGCAGATGTGAAGGCGAGGATCGGCAAAGCAAGAGCAGCATATTCACTACAACTGAAGAACATTTGGAACTAAAAACAACTGTCTGTCAACCAACACCAAGATCAGAAATTTCAATACAAATGTCAAGACAGTTCTACTGTATGGGACGGAGACGTGGAGAACTACGAAAGCCATTATCCAGAAGATATAGGTGTTTATTAACAGTTGTCTAAACAACATACTTCCGATCCGTTGGCCAGACACTATCAGCAACTACCTACATTGGGAGAGAACAAACCAAATTCCATCCAGTGGAAGAAGAAATCAGGAAGAAGTGCTTCAAGTTGTTAGGACACACATTGAGGAAATCATCGAACTGCGTCACAAGACAAGCCCTCACATGGAATCCTGAAGGCCAAAGGAGAGGACCAAAGAACACATTACACCGAGAAATGGAGATAGACATGAGGAAAATGAACAAAAGTTGGATTTAACTAAACAGGAAGGCACATGACAGAGTAAGTGGGTTGGAGAATGGTGGTCGGCGGCCTATGCTTCATTGGGAATAACAGGCGTAAATAAAGTAAATAAGTAAGTGATAATTCAATGAAAAGTTGAAGAATGGCAGTCATTAACTATTGATGAATACTATATCTTCTTTTGATTGTCCCTATACTTTATTTAAACCTATGTTAAACAATGTTGCTTATAAAATCGCAGTGAATGACCAGGCATAGTATGTTTGTTAGTATGTTTTTCATTTTCTAAATATAGAATGTTGTTTCACCAACACTATTTTTTAATTTCTAGTCTGACCATAAGAATTATGATAATCAAGCATGTCGGGCATTGCATTCCTCTTGGGATTCTCGTCACGTCACAAAGGCTGCTAAGGTCTCCACGTGTATATAAATGTTGTTTAGATTTTCGAAGCTTACACTACTGGTAGTGCGCACAAGATATTTGTCTGCTGATGGAAGATTGAGGACACTGTGCATCAGTGTCTATGAGATAAAGATCTTAATGGTACAAGTTATGCATAGTTTGAGTGTTTAACTGAAGACATTTTTAGAAGTATTTCTCGCTCATATCTTAACCAGAAAAACAAACGCCTTGTGTTATATAAAAATGATTTTGAAACATCAACTATTGTGGTGGTCAAAACAATAGTTACTCATTGTCACTCATCTCCTATCTCATAGTAGAAACGGACCGAACTAATAAATTTCACTGGTCAGTGAAGTCACTGATGTTTAAAGCCATGCATAATATAACAAAGCTTGATTGTTTCTATTCAAACTAACGTCAGTTTTCGTCAATGTTATTCTTCATTTAGTATTGTTTGCTTGAATCTTCCTATTGATGTTTAGGACTGCAACTGGTCAGTCTCTATTTGGCATATGTGCATACTGTGCGTATTGCCTCGATATAGACTTAATTCACAAGCATTGTAGAGACTGGTCAGTTGCAGTCCTAAACATCAATGTAAAGATTAAAACAAACAATACTAAGTGAATTCAAACTTCACCCCATTGCACAAGCAAGCGGCTATCAGGCCTCAGTAGCTGAGTAGATAACGCGATGGCGTTTGAAACGAATGATACTGTGTTCGAGTCCCAAAGTGAACGTCGACTCTGAGATGCAGATACACCAAGCTGACGAGTCCCATGTAGGACAAAACCCGCGTAAACTAGATTCCACCGCTAGCTACTATCCATCTTTGCTTACAATATTATTGTTGTTTGACAAACATTGAAATTTCCTTTTTTTGGAAGTATTTTCTAGACATTGAAGTTACAGTAAATTTGGAACTGGCTCATATCTATTTTTGTTTAAAATACACAAAATATCCAACAATATAACGGGATTTCGCTCATCTACATTGAATATTGAAATGATTTTATTGGTTACATATAGACATATTTCTGGTTAATTATCACATCGCAACAATTTGGAACTAATCTATTTATATCTATGATTTTATGAACACAAAGTATACGTGCTTCATTTATCTAAGATTGACAACTAATGAATATGAGTTTTGTTTGTCATTATTACTCTACACATATTTTCTATGATTAATTATTTTATCAATAACCATATATACCATATGATCTCACATATATGGTAATAATAATAATAATAATTATTATTATTATTATTATTATTATTATTATAAGCGAAGGTGGATAGTAACTAGCAGTATAATCCAGTTTGTCCTATTCGGGACTCGTCAACTGGATGTACCTGCATCTCAAAGTTGATTTTCACTCTGGGACTCGAACCAAGTACCTTTCACTTCAAATGCCATTGAGTTATCCACTCAGCTACTGAGTCCTAATAGCTACTTGCTTGTGCAAGGAGGTGAAGTTTAAATTCACTTAGTATTGTTTGTTTGAAACTTCACATTGATGTTTTTTGGACTGCAACTGGTCAGTCTCTTATTAGCATATGTGCATACTGTGCGTATTGACTCGATATGGCCTTAGTTCATAAGCATTATAAACAAAGATGGATAGTGGCTAGCAGTAGAATTCAGGACGCGCGTTTCGTCCTACATGGCACTCGTCAGCTGCATTTACCTGCACCTCAGAGTTGATGTTCAGGTACATGCAGCTGACGTGTTTCAAAAGGATGAAACGCGCGTCCTGGATCCCTTATTGAGGGCATCAATCTTATATATCGTTGATTTATTTGCTGTCGGGGGAAATTCGTCCTTTTTATCATAAATCTATTTGATCGGAAAGCAATTCACAGCAACACCTTATTATGAAATTCATTACATGAACCATTCTATGATACTTGTATTTATTGATTTATTTTTCGAAATTTAGGCACCCAGAAATCAGCTCAATACAAATTATACGCAGTTTCAAATCACAGTGGAAGTGTATATACTGGACACTACACTGCATCTTGTTTAAATCCTTATACAGGCGATTGGCACTCATTTAATGACAGTCAGTAAGTTTCGTATAATGAATGACAATTATATTTTACAAATTTAGCTCAGAAATTGATTTATGTAAGAGTTGGCGCTTGTTCTTTTCAACACTGGATCTAATTAAGAACCATAGCTTCTTACAACTAAGAAATACTTTCTAACCACTGAGTAATGATGTTAGAAGTTCACAAAATAAGACTATAATAATTGAATGTTGTCGTTGGGTGTAACTGTATCGCTCTTGATATGGTTCAATTAACCTGTTAGAGCTTTTCAATTGAGCTAAAAAAAATCAATCTCAAAACATTTACATAATTTATGCGAATATCCGTCAATATCAGAACAAATAGTTTGATAAAGATTGGGTTCTGAGTATAGAAAAGTCATTATATGTATGATGATGATTTCGACAATTTCGAAAATTTTTTGCAATAAACATGACAGGTTCAGGAAACATTAAGAAGCATTCTATCCCATCAGCGTTTGATTAGAAATTTTGCTAGAAACATCGGAAAAATGAAAAGTCACATGTAGAGGTTCTGATTGACTGATTACTACACTGCTACTATGTTTAGTAGCATTCCTAAATTTTCAAGAAAACCCAAGGACTTCTAAAATACTATAAAAAACCTATATTTTCTGTACATAAATGAACCCTTGGAGTAAAGTGCTTCTGGCATATATTTTGCGCCTTTTCTCTCGTGTTGAAGTCGCTGTGGAGATTTAGCTTGAAGATCACGAGACTAGCTTAGGATACGAGTATAGCGTTTAATCAGCAAGACTTATCAACTTACTCATGACCATTACCCCCTCATGGAGATATCATCTCAATTACTGAAACTAGTAACAACTAGTTAATAAAATAACAGCAATTATTATTCTCATATTTATTGATTTTATTAAATGAACTAATTAAATATCGTGGATACGCACTGCTGAGGAGTCCCACAACAGGACGAAACGGCCATCCAATGCTTCCAGGTTTTCCACGGTGGTGGTCTAGCTTCAATTGACTCATGATTTCAACTATATAAAATATTTAAATGTTGTTCTTATTTTGTTTTTTTTTCTTTTTCTTTTCTTTTTTTCTAAATTTTTCCAATAGTGTACATGCAATCTCAGAAAACTCAGTTGTTTCTGCTGAAGGTTATGTACTTTTCTATACTCTTATTCGATAAATTATTGATTTATTGATTGATTAAATTGGTTTTCTTTTTTTTTCTTTTTTTTTAAAAAAAATTTTATTGTTTTGATTTGTGTTTTATAAAGTTTAAAGCTGAAGAGGTTTACATTACTGATGTATAGATACACACTTATAATGTACATTGTATAATGCCCCCCCCCCAATGTAATTGTTACCATGGGTTAATTAATCTTATTATATATAAACATTTAGTTATTATTATTATTATTATTGTACTGTGGTTATTTTCTGATTACTATCTAATTATTATTATGCATAATAATAACGCTCAATTGAATACTATAATACTTGAGCTCACTATTGTTTTTGGGCTATCATGGAAACAAGAGAGAGAGAAAAAAATAGTATCTATACATAAAGAGAGAGAGAGAGTGAGTAAAATGAAGTAATGATTAATGATATGTAATTGTAAACTACTTAAATTACCTGATACCTTAGTAGTAGTAGTATATTTATATATAACTTTCTTTTTATAAGTGATTAACAAGCCAATCTATTGTAAACTGTTGTGTATTCATTCTCACTGAAGCATCCATGTAGCATGTACAATACTGATATACATATAGATATACAGCATACATTAAAATGAACATATACTTGTTAATTCGCATATTTTTACTTGTATGTGTAGATTATACTTAACAATTGAAGTGTTCTTACCTTGTTCGATTACTTTTATTGTTGACATTATATTCCTTACAGTATTGTCTTCCACGAATGTCCATACAACTACATATATATACCGTGTACATCTTCTTTAATACATAATGTAATTTTTGATTCATATCCTATCACTACTACTACTACTACTACTACTACTACTACTACTACTACTACTACTACTACTACTACTACTACTACTACTACTACTACTACTACTACTACTACTACTACTACTACTACTACTACTACTACTACTACTACTACTACTACTACTACTACTACTACTACTACTACTACTACTACTACTACTACTACTACTACTACTACTACTACTACTACTACTACTACTACTACTACTACTACTACTACTACTACTACTACTACTACTACTACTACTACTACTACTACTACTACTACTACTACTACTACTACTACTACTACTACTACTACTACTACTACTACTACTACTACTACTACTACTACTACTACTACTACTACTACTACTACTACTACTACTACTACTACTACTACTACTACTACTACTACTACTACTACTACTACTACTACTACTACTACTACTACTACTACTACTACTACTACTACTACTACTACTACTACTACTACTACTACTACTACTACTACTACTACTACTACTACTACTACTACTACTACTACTACTACTACTACTACTACTACTACTACTACTACTACTACTACTACTACTACTACTACTACTACTACTACTACTACTACTACTACTACTACTACTACTACTACTACTACTACTACTACTACTACTACTACTACTACTACTACTACTACTACTACTACTACTACTACTACTACTACTACTACTACTACTACTACTACTACTACTACTACTACTACTACTACTACTACTACTACTACTACTACTACTACTACTACTACTACTACTACTACTACTACTACTACTACTACTACTACTACTACTACTACTACTACTACTACTACTACTACTACTACTACTACTACTACTACTACTACTACTACTACTACTACTACTACTACTACTACTACTACTACTACTACTACTACTACTACTACTACTACTACTACTACTACTACTACTACTACTACTACTACTACTACTACTACTACTACTACTACTACTACTACTACTACTACTACTACTACTACTACTACTACTACTACTACTACTACTACTACTACTACTACTACTACTACTACTACTACTACTACTACTACTACTACTACTACTACTACTACTACTACTACTACTACTACTACTACTACTACTACTACTACTACTACTACTACTACTACTACTACTACTACTACTACTACTACTACTACTACTACTACTACTACTACTACTACTACTACTACTACTACTACTACTACTACTACTACTACTACTACTACTACTACTACTACTACTACTACTACTACTACTACTACTACTACTACTACTACTACTACTACTACTACTACTACTACTACTACTACTACTACTACTACTACTACTACTACTACTACTACTACTACTACTACTACTACTACTACTACTACTACTACTACTACTACTACTACTACTACTACTACTACTACTACTACTACTACTACTACTACTACTACTACTACTACTACTACTACTACTACTACTACTACTACTACTACTACTACTACTACTACTACTACTACAACTACTACTACTACTACTACTACTACTACTACTACTACTACTACTACTACTACTACTACTACTACTACTACTACTACTACTACTACTACTACTACTACTACTACTACTACTACTACTACTACTACTACTACTACTACTACTACTACTACTACTACTACTACTACTACTACTACTACTACTACTACTACTACTACTACTACTACTACTACTACTACTACTACTACTACTACTACTACTACTACTACTACTACTACTACTACTACTACTACTACTACTACTACTACTACTACTACTACTACTACTACTACTACTACTACTACTACTACTACTACTACTACTACTACTACTACTACTACTACTACTACTACTACTACTACTACTACTACTACTACTACTACTACTACTACTACTACTACTACTACTACTACTACTACTACTACTACTACTACTACTACTACTACTACTACTACTACTACTACTACTACTACTACTACTACTACTACTACTACTACTACTACTACTACTACTACTACTACTACTACTACTACTACTACTACTACTACTACTACTACTACTACTACTACTACTACTACTACTACTACTACTACTACTACTACTACTACTACTACTACTACTACTACTACTACTACTACTACTACTACTACTACTACTACTACTACTACTACTACTACTACTACTACTACTACTACTACTACTACTACTACTACTACTACTACTACTACTACTACTACTACTACTATTGTACTTCTATTAAAAGTAGTAACATTAATACATTACGGCTTAATTTTTCAATTTTAAGGCTGTGATCTTAACTATATTTTCATTGTAAAAAAGCAAAAAATACAGATTTGGGGCCAATTTTTCTATTAGCTAATAAATTAGATTCAATCATTTATAATGAATTAATACTGATAGTTGTACGCTACACATAATCTTATAAAGTCATATTGACCTTTTACCTTTAAGCAAAAAAAAAAGATATCCATATTTATTTTCAATGATTCATAAACAACTGCTTCTATACTATTGTTAGTTTGTTAATAAACAAACACAAATAGATCAATCCTTTATCAAATTTACTCCTCCTCGTCCTCCTCATCCTCCTCCTCTTCATTTTCATACTGGGTAGTTACAATATTCGATCGATTGTACCGCTTGTTTTTTTTTTCTTCTTTTGAGAAAACCAAAAATTGCGCAAAATTACAGTATTATACAAAAGCATTGCAGATTATAATGTGTATACATTCATATATATAGATATATAGATATGTAATAAATAAATGTAATTTATTACTACTTATATATTTTTTAAGTAAATAAATGATTTATTTTGTTCATCAATTTATTGATGATTTGTTATTCTTCATTACATCTTAAAGAGGTTCTTGTTATAGATGATGTTCTTATGAGGTTGTATTGGATTAATTAGTGTAGACAATGAGATTTAAGTGGAACTATATGTTGATTCTAATGTTGAAGTACTGGAAATAGATTCTAATTGTTATATTCCTTGTCAGTCAGTCATAGAGGTATGAGGGCAGTTATTACTTCCGTGGAAAGGTTCTTCTCGAGGTACCTGAAAAGGAAATTGGGTTAGAAGTGGTCTTAATGACCTGAGAGCGTGACCGCAATGCCCAAGGAACAACTGCTTGAGGTCGGTCACACACGACCTTTTTTGTGAGTAGTTTTGTGTTAGCTCCGTATTTGTTGAGACCTTACCGCCGGAGACGGATATCTGTGGTATAAGGCGAGGTGTGCATTTTTAGGGTCAACCATTTCTAACCCCACCCCTCCTTGTGGGAAGGCAGCATTGCTGTTATGCTGATTGTCTGAAGGAAACACCTTACTGTCGTCACACGTCTGTACAGTCGGCAGTACGACTTCGCCTTCAGACCTTGTGTTTGCTGCTTTAAGTCTTACTGCTCTTCAACCGACCTGTCTGGCATGGTAGGACCTTGAGGAGCGATTTTTCCAGCCAGTAAAGCTCGATTGGTTCATCACGATAGGGAAGCCGGACCACCAAGTCAAAGTAGCAGCAACGGTGAGTGAGTGCCCAGTTCATATATATGAATGATAAGACCGCCCGATTGCAGAACAGTGAATTTATTGATCGCCCAATGATACACGAAAACTTTCTGAGCAGTCTTGTGAGTACTTATCAGTCCTGCTTTCTGCCTAGCCCACCCAGTTAAGTTCGGAACACCAATAACAGCCTCTGCAATATGAATCATTATTTTCGAACATACTGGGTTTATATACCAAACAAACTGACCACATCTTACCATAAAATAGAAAATAACATTTGTACAAGATTTGGTCAACTGTGGCTGTGAATAGGGGGAACAGTAATTAAGAGACTAGGGATAACTCAAGAATGGTAAATCGTATAATAATAGTCTATGGGTCAAAATAAAGCTTATAATAAGAGGGACACGAATGTGAATAGTTTAGTTACTTAACAATTATACAATAGGAAATATACATATCACATCGGTTCATAAATAGTCCTGAAAGTTACCATTCATAATTCTCTTCGGGATATAACAATAATTATCTGAATATTTTAGACACCAGTGTTAATATTCTAACTTAGACTCGATTCCGTTACTAATACATTAACGCAATGAGTTATGAGATAGTGAGGATATAATTACTATTTGTAAGGGGTCGTATTTTCCCGTTGTTAATACTCACAACTGTATGTTACCTCCGTTGACTCACCTTAACTAAATGATAGTTCAGTGCTAGGGTTAATTAGAGTCCAGATTATTTAGATTTTTTGTATTATTATATGTACGAAGTTTTTTCATTTCGGACTTAATAAGTATCAAGTTTCTTTTTAAGTCCTTCTGCCTAATTCTCGGGTTAGCGATAATTTTCAAAGTGTTGTGTCAGTTGCCGTACTATGAAGTTCGTATTAAAAGAATTTCAATCGTTCGTAATCAGAGTTCACCGTATGCCCAATCGTATATTCAACAATCAGATTAACAGTTTAATAGTTTCCCACATTAAATCTTTACTATCGAGTAAAAAAAAGTAAATGCGAATTAACATGGAATTATCAGAACCGTATAGTGATAGTAGTAGCAGTGTAGTGAACAAGAACACGAGTATGAATAATCGAATGTACCTAGGCACAAATTACAGACTATCCCACTAAATTCTGATAACCATACAGTAAACAGTTAATTTGCAAAATAACAATCAATTGTCTCAATCTTCACTGTTCCTTCCGTAAATATCAATCCATCTTCTCTTATTTCATTGTTCATGCATTTTCGTTTCGATTGCGTTTTATTCCTGTTCTTTCCTTATCGATCTTATGCCCAGATACATTCTATGTCTGACCATCACCGTATACTACTTATATGGATATAAGTAGACCACACCACAGTATTAGTAGTAGTAATAATAAGTAACCTTTTTAACTGAAATTCAATTGTCTTTGTAGACAAGATAAACTATTGGTACGAAACTACTTTTTTCCTGGTTTGTCTTAAAATATTCACTGCTGCTTACGAAGTAGATACAAAAACTATCTAACTATTTATCTATCACATGTAAAACAAAAAGAGAATTATATGGAATAACGATTCCTTTAAAGTATTTTAGATGAATTTTTTTACAATGTATATTCTAATGACAGTTACATTAGTGTAGGTTTTATGATGTACATAATGTCACATTTGTTAACATAGTAGCGGAATAAATGAATAGTTGTTTATCAGGCTTATTTGGTTCAAAACAACATCAGTTTTATAGTTGAGATCATGAGTCAGTTGAAGCTAGATCACCATAGAAAACCTCGAAGCACTAGACGGCCGTTTCATACCATTGTGAGACTCCTCAGCGGTGCGTATTGACGATCTCGCCTCGAGGGATTCGAACCCAGGACGTAACAGCCTCTCGCCAGAGCACTGAACAATTGTTTAACTTAATAGTTTAAAGGTCTTAACATTGCGTTACCAATTATCAAGACTTATCCTCAGTCATCTTATCTGTAGAGTTAATATTAGATCGAAAATCTAAACCCTGAACTGTACTGAACGGGACAATGGAGTAAACTGTCATTGGATGGAACATACTTAAAATATATGTAGCATTTAGTTTGTGTGTTTCTATTAACAGGAACTACTAGTATTTGATTTATGACAGTATTATGTTGAGAGAAGATCTAATCACGTAGTATTACCCAAAGAGTAATTAAAGAAACTACAATTTTATATAGTTGAAATCATGAGTCAATTAAAGCTAGATCACCATGGAAAACCTCGAAGCACTGGACGGCCGTTTCGTTCTATTGTGGGACTCCTCAGCATTGCGCATCCACGATCCCGCCTAGCGAGATTCAAACCGAGGACCAGCGCTTAACCACTAGACCACTGAGCCAGCATCAAATTTGTTGATAAGTATAACTTTCGAATATGACTGTAAAGTAATTAAGAATCGTTCCGATTGACCTGTACAAATAATCGAGATTATTCAAATACAAATGAAGTTTCAATGTAATGATAGGGTTTTAGCTAACAGAATTAATGAAGTTAGATAAATGGACTGTTCAAGTGTACTAGTTAAGGTTGCAGAAAGAAATTGAAGTGTTACACAAACGCTTTAATAATTGACACCAATCAATCTCCGGCATTTATTGACGGCTTTCCGATGCAATTTTTTAAAATAGTATTGAAAATTTTACGAAGCATTATATGCACCTAGATTAGAGTATATAATAAAAACTGGTTGTATTTATAAACTGCTGTTATCATTTGAGAAAAATATATCCTTGGCCTGTTATACACGATAAGTCAACGTTATCTGGTACTTAATATGATGAAGTTTAGTTACTCAGAATTCGGAGATCAAAAGAAACTCTGCGTTATAATTAATGCCATAGAAATCGTTAAAATAGATCATCTGGTACTTGTTTATACTTAGATTTGTTTCATGAAAAAATAGAATTCATAGGTAGTATTCATTAGGAACTGATTGTGGTTGCCGTACGGTTGTAATCTAGGGAGCACATGATAGATGTTACAGCCCATTATAGGTCTCTTTAGTAGTTTACAGTGGTTTATCAACTGAGGTTATTCTGTTAAAAGTGCGATCTACAAACTAAATCAAGTTTAAGAAGACGGACTCATCAATTTATTATCAACCAAGTAACTTACTGTTTAGTCTTTTGGTGCTTTACGGTACTATACTTGACAAATACATTAATTGGCTCTCATGTAAATTGTGGGTTAATGAAATAATCTTAAAACTTAATTAGACGTGACGTTACCCAAAAAAGGTTTAGATAAGGTCTTCAGGTACACATGTTATTAAGGAACTGTGCGACACTGGTTTCACTGCTCTTAGCATTTTCAGAAGAACTGGTAGTGATTCTTATCACTTACCTATTCAGTCTATTTTTGTCTATAAGAGCCTGAATACTACGTATGTCATTATGAGTTCTATTAATCACAGCATCTATATTTTCGCCTATACAATTATTCATAGGTATATTTGGGACGTCGTTTATAAAGAAGAATATTTGTTAGTGTCTGTCTACTTGGTTATTTATTAATCCGTTGTTAATTTGGATGCATACGTTAGGTAATGTTTAACTCAAAAGTCTCGAGTAAACATTACCATACTGAGCTCATCTAGTTACTCTCTCAATATATCGTGAGTGGGACTCACGATCATTAAAACTTTTTGTATACAGCTTTCAATACTGAATTTGTATAAATATGGCAAGTCTGAGAAAATATACAAAGTTAATCCAGTGTATAGACAATATACACCGGGGACCAATAAATTATGAAGTCAGATGAGCCACTAACAGCTTCTAGTCCACTAATGTGGATGATAAGAATATTTGCGTTAAATGGAAATAGTGTAATCTCCTAGCTTGCACCCAATTCACACCTCAAAATGAGTAACTAATACGGCTAACCCTGTCTAGGAACAACAGTAAATTAACGAAATAGAATGGTTTATCAGAGAGGGTAAATTGAAGAAGGACATAGTTAGGACACCTCCGTAGGGGCCAGTTCTTGGCGTACCTTTAATTAACTAGTTTTGGTTATTCTTGACCCTTAAAAAGTTCAGTAAGCTTTCCAACGTTCAGTGACCTACTGTCTATTGTACAGATAGTTTGCTTCGATCGGTAATTTGTATAGGACTCAACTATATTTCATTGACTCTGAAAGCCTAAAAAATGAAGAGTTGGATAATATCAGCTAGATACTAAGGATAGGTTAAGTTCACCATGACGCTTCTCTGCATCATAAGAGAATCACGCCAGTAGAAAACCAGTTTGAATCCTCTGGAAATCGCTCTGAAGTGTTTTGTTTAACCGTTTGTTATTTCCTGAATTTCCTTCCATGCTATGTAGACCAACTTTTATGTAGGACTTCTACAACACTTTTTTGGTATTTATTGACCATTTTTAAGTGGACCCTCATCATTTGACTGGTCATGGTTTATCTTTATTACTACATTGTGTTTTTGTACGATAATGGACTGTTAAGAATAAGGTCATCTTTGATTGGATTCAAAGTTATGATGTG